AGGAAAGACTCAAAGTTTATACAAGTCGGCATCACCGATATATTGTTACTTACAGCAATGACGCACAAACGTGAGTAGGTGTTTGAAGAGGCGCTTCAAAGCCTATACCAGTATATATATATATATATTCTCCTAAAGCCATGATATAGTTCGAATGGAAGTGGATCGTGCACATTCGTGACTGGAATATGAAAATAGGTCATGCTAAATCGTGACTGGATCACTTCAAGCAGACCATGTTTAAGGCATCGAGATAACCGGTATAACTTGAGACATTACGTTTTCTATTTGCACAATTAAAATTAGTATACTGTAGTTAAATTTCATCCAGTCCATCGAAATTGTTCATCCATTCATTTGCACGTTTATTAACGTAAAATTACTTATAAACAGAATGTTATTTAAGGCTTTCATATCTGGGCATTAACAGTTAACATTATATTAAACCAAATGAAAATGGACGAGACTGTTTCTTACATGCAGCAGCATAAGTGTTCCCTTTTAAGACGGGGGGTGGGGGCGTATAATGTTTTATAGTAGAGAATAATAATACTAAGGGATTCCTAAAATCTTTATATGAATTATTGGTCATATAATTATGAATGTTTTATCTGTAATATATATATATACACAATTCCATAAGTAGAAAAAAAAGAAGTGATTTTTGTAGCTAGGTACACTGCATACAATCATGTCAGTTTTCGGTTAAATTTTGCCTGTGACCGTCGTTATTTACACAAGGTAAGGCATTTTATTGCATTGTTCAATCTTCATTAGATCGTTTTTATATTGTAATTTGCCCCCCAGTGGCACGGCTGTATGTCTGCGGACTTGCAACGCTAGAATCCGGGTTTCGATACCCGTGGTTGGCAGAGTACAGATAGCCCATTGTGTAGCCTTATGCTTAATTACAAACAAACAAACGATAAATTGTAATTTAACTTGTGTGCGTTTGTTAACATGAGAAACGTTTTATTTGCTGATATCTAACTTTACGTATGATTTTCTTGAGAAATGTAGTGTCTTATAATGCATAATAAAAAAATTACTGGTGTTAATTAAGAGACAATTCAGGTCTTAAACTCCGACTTAAAGAAAGTCACAACCCAAATCAGAAGTCTAAATGCAGCAACTTTGCACCCAACACATTTGTGGCGCCATAATTATATTGCAAACACCCATATTTTCTAAATACACAACTTGATGGTATTTTTCAAATGAAGCTTCAGGTTTGTGTGGGTGGGTGTGGTTGTTTATTGCCAAGTACAAAATGAAAAATAACATCAAGGAAAATATTTGACAATGCCCTGATGAACTGATTTGGAAATTATTGACTTCGCATATCAGAATGTATTATTATTTTATGCAGTTATAATATCGTCCGACTTTTATTATAAGGGACAACATTATCGTATCATCTTACTGAATAAAAAGAGTCATTGAAATCCAGGATACTTCATGAATACAGGCCTTGTCACCCTGTCGGTTTGTATCTTATGTTTCAAATGAAAGTCCTTAAACTTGTTTTTTTTTCAAGTTGCAAAATTAAATTTTTTGTGTCTGTTTTAACTAGTAATGCTACATTTATAAAATTGTGCAAGCTTTAGTTTTTATTTCCTGTAAGAGCAATTCTTAAAGTAACATTGTGCGACATGAACCTCGTTTTCCATCAGTAGGTCTTCCAATGAGTCATCTGCAGCATGAATAAGTCTTGCAGTGTGGTGTTCTTTCACGACGTCTTCCAGACTCTCTGGCGCTTGTGTTACTGCTCCTAACTCATAGTCGTTGTCATGGAAACTTATGACTGCAGTGTGCAGCGGTTGTGATACTGAAGAACGAATCGCCAACTCATGTATGCCCTCATTGTGCTAGCTACAAAGATATCTTGCAGTATCTTTGCAGTTTGGGTTAGAATATCGCAATTAGGTACTGGGTTGTAACTAAGCAGAATAAATAGGTACCCTGTGGATGAATGCACAGAGGGTCAAGTTCGTGTGTTAGCTATGTTAGAGAAGTAGTAGAGAGGCTGTTATTTTGTACAGAAATGCTCAGCTTAAGTAAGCTTCGGTGCTTTAAAAATACATGGAGTAATCGGTTGCTCAATTAAAATAGTTTATAAACACATACAATGAAACATAGTTAAACATTCAAGGTTTATTTTTGAGCAATAAAAACATCTTAACAAGCAAAGCAACATAAAGCTCATTTTCAAACTTTGATTTTTCAAAAATAAAAAAGGGTCAATTCTTATAACACGGTGCAACTTCATGCTACAGCTTTATTTCACACGAACGTTTCTGGTTTGAGATAAAATTAGTATACTTTACTTATAAGAAATAGTTTTGTCAGCTGTTCCAGTAATGGTTTACTTAAAACGTTGAAACTCAGCGACTAGATTTACAATACCCATTTTGGTTACTCTTGTTTCAGAGTATGTAAATATGTAAAAATTAATTAAATGGAAAAAGGAGGCAAAAACCAGGGTTAGTGTGTGTGTGTGTGTGTGTGTGTATATATATATATATATA